TACGATCTTCCATGCCGTAAAGTCACTGATCCCGTGTTCCTTTGCCATTTTCCTTATTGAACGCACTGGATTCACCCGAATCTTCCTTTTGATAGCAGCGATAACCCTCGGAACCCGAGCTGACCTCGGACGACCTGTGGCCACCTTCGCGGATAGTTGTCCTTTCTTTTCTCGGTCTAAAACTCTTTTGACGGTCCACCGGGACACTCCCACGGCGATTGAATTGAAATGTCTTTTTGCGACATTTGTGCGTGGGACAAATTACGAATACGCTGCCACTTCTTCATGGTGCGACTGTCAAACTAAGTAAATCATTTTCTTTTATACACAGCCTACTACGGTATGAGCTATAGGTTACGTGCATGTCAAGAAAACCAAGGCATTGTATGCACAGGTGAAACGGGAACCTTATTTGTACGATGGTGCAAACATTATCACGCATACGGTAGTACTAGAATTTCGACTGGAATGGTGTACGTTAATCGATTTGCTTGGGACGAATAGGCTAGTCAAGTAGTGAGCCAATTTATAATCAATAGTTTCGTATTGATTGTTGGTCTCACGTTCGTAAGCGGGTACAGTTCACTCGTGCTTACGTTAGCACAAACAACTGCATCGTCGCCTAAGCGACCGACTGATGTTTAACATGAGTGTAGCTAGGGCATCCACCCCAATGACATATGCTTGATGCGGGACATCATTTTATTTGAATAGCTTTTTTTTTTCCTCTGTCCGGGACCTAACACCACTGCGACCAGTAATTTGATCTAAAGGGTGATACGGTCAAAATTTGGTCAATATCAACTTGACGTATTTCTTTCAATTTTGCATTTAAAAAACCTGAACACCCCTCATTTTGAAGGTGTGTGTGTGTAGAATGTTGCTCCTATTTTGATTTTGGAATTCACTCTTCAGTTGTCAAAATGCCGTCCAAGCAAGAAGAGCAGCGTATCAAAATTTTGCTCGCGCATCGCGAAAATCCGAGCTACTCGCACGCAAAGTTGGCAAAATCGCTAAAAGTTGCCAAATCAACCGTTACAAATGTAATTAAAGTGTTTGGGGAACGTTTGTCGACAGCCAGGAAGTCTGGATCGGGGGGAAATCGAAAACCGGAAGCCGCTGAGACGACAAAGAGAGTTGCCGGTAGTTTCAAGCGAAACCCTAACCTCTCTCTCCGAGATGCCGCAAATAAGCTGGGTGTATCGTCTACAACCGTGCATCGAGCCAAAAAACGAGCCGGACTATCGACTTACAAGAAGGAAGTGACTACAAATCGCGATGATAAACAAAATACGACGGCCAAAGCGCGATCCCGGAGGCTGTACACGACGATGCTGACGAAGTTTGACTGCGTGGTAATGGACGACGAAACCTACGTCAAAGCCGACTACAAGCAGCTTCCGGGACAGGAGTTTTATACGGCAAAAGGAAGGGGAAAGGTAGCAGATGTTTTCAAACACATGAAACTGTCAAAGTTCGCAAAGAAATATCTGGTTTGGCAAGCCATCTGTACCTGTGGCTTGAAAAGCAGCATTTTCATAGCTTCCGGGACTGTCAACCAAGAAATTTACGTGAAAGAGTGTTTGAATAAACGTCTGCTGCCTTTCCTGAAGAAACACGGTTGTTCCGTACTGTTTTGGCCGGATTTGGCATCTTGCCATTACGGTAAAAAGGCCATGGAGTGGTACGCCGCCAACAACGTGCAGGTGGTTCCCAAGGACAAGAACCCTCCCAACACGCCAGAGCTCCGCCCAATTGAGAAATACTGGGCTATTGTCAAGCGGAACCTAAAGAAGACCAAAAAACTGCTAAGGGCGAGCAGCAGTTCAAGGCAAACTGGCTTTCTGCGGCGAAGAAGGTGGACAAGGTGGCTGTACAAAATCTGATGGCAGGGGTCAAGCGTAAGGCCCGGCAATTCGGATTTGGAAAAGCGGAAGCCTAACTGAATATTTTTCCTGAATTTTATACTAATTGAACTTGAAAAAGAAATTTAATTTGATTTTTTAAATAAACGATTTCACCGATTTACACGCGTTTTCCCTTGACCAAATTTTGACCGTATCACCCTTTATTGTAGCATATCACATGTCCTTAGTTAGTCGATTTTTTTAAAGTTGTCATTCTTGCACATATCGCAAGGATCCGACTCTAATTGAAAGGTTCCGCTATTTATACCCTTCGGAGTGTTGAAACACCCTCGAAAGGCGCGCCCCTTTGTCAGTCAAAATTGGATTCCTTAGCAACAAAATTAAGGAATGAAACCGGTAATGACCATGCATCAGAACCCTAGTCTTAACCACTTCAAGCTAGGGAACAACGAATAGAAGATTAGGAATCACATAGATGAAGACTAACTCATTTTTTCCTTGTTTCAAGATCATCCTCGGTGGACAAAGCCGAGTCTTGGCACTATCAACAAAGCATAAAAAGTAACAAGGACTAGGATGTGTTCCTTGGATTACTGAAAAATCCTGTTCCCCTAGTTTAAAGTAGTCAGGACTAGGAATCGGTGGTAGATCTTACATCCCGTAACGTACCACGAAAAGGTGATCTACCCACGTTACGGGGATTTGAATAGCTTCATGCCACCGGACGTCAACAATCGTCGTTGGTTATGTAATGTAATGTTTTGCAAGGGGCTTGGTTATCTAGTCCAACCTGTGGTAGATAGAGTTGGTAGTGAATAACAATAACTATACCTTGAGTAAACTTGATTCAGCGTGTAGTCTTATAATACAAACGACTTGAGTATACTTAAATCAGCATGTAGCGATTATTTGATGATCAAAGAAACGCACACATACATATACATGCGATGAGGAAACTACCCGAAGAATGATCTTCGCCTTGTGCATGACTGCATGGTGCAATCAGTCATTTAACTAATCTTGTAGCGCACGGTTGTGCATTGTGCTAGTCTTTGTTGAGACAAATGGCCGAGGCTTGAAACCTCGGTCAGGTCACGACACAACCGTTTTTGCTTACTGAGCAAAAACGAGGGGGTTTTATCCCAGACCCCTTTACATTACTGGATTGATAGGGTTGACTCATTTGCCTTCTAGCCATTCCAAAGATTATTCGCGTCAATTTCGGAAATCAATACATTATATCAAAACTACGAGCTCATCAATTATCAAGGTGAATCCTGACCAATGAACCCAAACTACTAACAAAATATCGCTCCTTTGACCTTTGACAAAGGTCTGTGGGGACGCAGAGGTAAACACGGTCCCCAAAACAACAACCCTTACACAATTTATAAGGTTATTTTGCTTAACGGTGTGTTCAGCGTGTCATCCAAACCATTTGTGGAATTGTTCTATCGTTCGGTTTATTGTTTGGGTATGGTGTTTTTTTTTATTTGAGAAAGGTACTTTTATTAGAGGAAGGTCAGTCTAATATTCCTTCCCTACTCCCAACTGATTGCAAGGTCGTGGCCGCCGCCGTTATTGATCATAAAACATGTGCCAATTTCACTGGTTCTGATCAATCACGGAGTAGCAACCATTTGATATGTGCAGTCAATGTAATCGACTCGGCACGTGGTTTCGTTCCATCTCAACACCATTTTTGCACGGCGGCTTATCCGATCAAGGATGTTGATATTCCATTCGAAAGTCCTCGTCGGTGCATAGATCGCTATTAATTATTTTCCATGTCGGAAGCATTCATAACTGCCAATTGGGTTTGATCGCATAGTATAAGTTACACGGAAAGTATATCTTTCAGGCGTTTACTTTTGATAGACCCGTAAGCCTTTGTGCATACGTTTTGAAAGGACCGAATTGCAGGTGTGGACCATTTCTTCGGCTTAAGCTTGGCCATAGAAATATTTCAGATTCCCGCTTTAGTTCTTTGATGTTTTCGATTCTCAACTGGATGGCAGATGTTTGTTCTGGACAATATCTACGACCAGAAAATTGAACCGTGTTAACAGCTTTTTTCAAATTTAGAAGTCATAGAAACCACATTACGAGTTGTTCAACCAATGTCGGTATAGACTGGATTGGACGAATCGCAAGTCATAAATCAAACATCTTAAAATCCAAACAAACAGTTTTCCAATATAAGGTATAAAGAAATCATCGAGTAGCACAAGGACAGAGTTTCCTAAAAGCCATTAAGGACAGGATAATAAAATTAATATTAGATATCCACCCAATAAAACTCGTTGCTATTGCTACTGTTACGGTTGCATTACCTTCAAGTCAATCAGGGTAGGGATTCAATAAAATGCGACAGACGAGCCGATTGTTTATCCTACTCTCATACCCCTATGGGCGCCGTTACAACAACTGGTAGATCGTAAAACCATCATTTGCATCAAATTGGCAGCAAACTCCCCCGAGAACATCGATTGCTTGCCGAACCGAACATCGTCGAGGATGATTCGCATGTTTGATTATTCGCGCTCTACACAGAAAAACAAAACTACCCACCGCTTGGGTTTTTTAAACTCAAATTTGAGTTATTTGACCTCTGTCCGTTTCATTTCCTCTCGCTATTGTTGTCAAAAATAGAACGAAAGATTCGACTCAACCGTCTAGTTCCGTACAAGAAGCCAAAATTGAGTAATATGCGATATACCCAAATTTGAGTTAATTGAACTTAATTTTGGGTAGAAAAAATTGAAAATAACTTAGCGATGGGTAATTTTTTTTGCCGTCCTTAAATGCAAACTACTTTGAGCCGGTTTACCCAAATTTGGCTTATCGTACGGAACATGGGAGATGAGTGAAAAGAACTTAATTTTGGGTTGTTTTGAATTTCTGTGTAGGTACCACACGTTGGCATCTTCCGTGACTGATTGATAGATTGTTTATTTTTTGGCATGAAAAAAGAACGACTTGCAGTCATCATATTCGCGACTCATGGTTAGAGGGGACATCCGGCGTGTGCCAAGAGGTCGAAACGCAAATGATAAATGGGACGCCCTTGGGACTGGGATGATTTATCGGTTGTCAAAATATGGAAAGGTCCAACCAGCAAGGAATAGACAATTGTTATGCAATTCATTCCACCATGCAGTCAGTGCTTTATTTTGTGATTCTTGAACACATTCGCCAACAATCACCAATTATCCTGCGGTAACCGATAGGTCCAGTTGTCGCTTCGGACGACCGAGATACCCGGGCCGTAGTACGGAATCACGTAGGCTGATCCATCTGCTGGACCGACCACCTGGGTGGCTATCAGTATGACGTCCACCAGCTGACCAAGGAACATGAATCCGAGGGTGCAGAATTTGAGCAGACCAATGGCCGGATAGCCCAGATAGAACCGGTCCGCTCCGAACATGCCCAGAAAGACGGACAGCAGCAGCGCCGTGTCGAAGTGGTACCCGTTGCTGGAATGAGAAAAGGGAAAACAGATATTTACTACTAAGTGCTGCCTTCCACATATGGAGTGCATTAACGGTGGGGTTGCATGGTATTTTAAAATATATTCTATTCCTGCCGGGAAATTACTTTCCGGAAAATGAATCTTTTCGACAAGCCATATCATGCCTCACACCACACCCTCACTCGTCGGATTCAACTTACGTCCACTTGCATGGCATCTCCCGAGTAAAGCTGGAATTTTTCGTCTCGCTACAGGTGATGCCCTCTACGGCTAGGCACCACACGCGGGCTTTGTTATCTTTGGTACATCCCCGCAGTTGTTGCGTTTTGGGATCGATGTGCCGCACGTTGGGATCCGGACACAGGTACTGGCCCATCCGCAGATCCGAACAATCGATTTCGACCGCTTCCAGACTGCAGGGGATGACCGCAGCCAGAAGGTAGAGCACTGTCGGGCCACACCACGATGATGGTTTCATTATTTATTATTTTCCTATTTAATGATTACACTTAACTAACGAGATTAATGAAGCTTAGCCTAACGAGAAACTATCAGTTTCTAGCGATGAACACAGCCAAATTTACAGATTTTATAACAACAAGTAATAAGAATTTATGTTCGAGCGATTTTGTTTTGCGGATTGTTGTTTACACTTTTTGACGTTTCTCTCATCGCTGGTGTTCCGTATTTCGACTGTTCCTTTGGAGTTCCTAATGAGATGCGAGGGGTTATTCAATGGTCCGTTTCGATGCAACTGAGTCATTTGGCGCGCATACGCTTTGGATGTTCATCGCTGCCACGTGGTTGAAATAATTGAATTTTGCATACAGAAATTGCTGATTTCCCGCGAATCAAAACTCATCCGCACAAGCGAACATAACTGATCTGATTATTTTTATGTTCTGCCTACACAGCAAAAAGGTTGATGGATATTAAGGCTGTGTTCCAATTGGAGAATTTTCACTTAAACTTGACAGATGAGAAATTATTTCCCCTCAAATTTCAATCTGTCAAAAATAAGTCTGCTCCGGAGGAGACTTATTTTTGACAGATGGAAATTTGTTAGCTTCTGTTGTTGTTCTGTGTTGGTTGCTGGCAAAGATCGCGCGCAGTTTTCGATTTCGGTCGGTGATTATATTATTCGGTGGATTTTATCACCAATAAACTTTTTAGCTGTGATGGAGGGTAGCTCAAGAAGCAGAAAAAGTAAGTAAACCTGTAGCAATTAACGTAACCTTGTCATTTATTCTGAATTTTTACATTGCAGTGTCTGAGGAGCAAGTGAGACGCTTGATTACCGCCCGGGTGGAGTGCAACCATTTTTTCACCACAAAATTTTTTGACAGGAAAGCAGCGTGGGCGTAAGTTTTTTTTTCAAATTATGAATCATTATTTCACTGCTGCGGTCGTGGCAATAATAGGCATCAGTTTCGTGTCACACGATTTCCTAAAAAGGAAAGGGCAAACTGCCGGATGGTAGCCTGCAGTAATTTTATTCACTCTCATGCGTGTGTTAATTTTAGTGCTGCTGAGTCGGAGCCATTTTTGGTAGGATCCTGGGTCGTAGTTACTGCCAATGGTGTTTTTACCGGTGGAATAGAATGAATTTATCTGATTTTGACCCCAGATACTACGGAAAGACTCTCCGACTCGGACCCGAGTCCGCAGTTCAGATTAGTTCGTAGGTTAAGGTTACCACTGTTGTGTGGCTTTTACCGGTATCAGTCGATGCTTGATTTTATTATATGGTATTTACCTAGCTTTGATTTGGCAATCGAGATGCCTAATTGTTTGTTTGTTACAATTACGACACTGATCGATGATCATACCGATACTTCTGTTTCCATTAAGTTAGCAATTATTTTATCACTGTTGGGAGGAAATGCTATAATATCAACATGAAGCTTTAAAGTGATAATTTATTTGCTAGATAAAGACCTGAAGAGGATAGATTGATAGTTCCACTAGAGTACTATCAATCTATTCTCTTTAGAACTTTCTGTAGCTAATAAATTATCGCACTAAACCTTCATGTTGATATTAGTATAGCATCACCTCTCATCTCTGAAAATCGTAAACTTCGCATATGAAGTAACACTATACTTTGATTGAATGAATTATTTTATATTTTTTATGATCTTGTCCGGCAATCAAATTTTGAGCAATCAATGAACCATTGAAGACCGTAATACACTCTTCTGAAAATGCTCTGGTCAGTCCGGCGATTCCGGTAAAAATTATAACCTATCATATCGATATCTTCGAAACGATAAGATTTTCCATAAGTTAAATGCAAGCTATTGATATTTTATCTTCCAGGAACCTTGCGAGAAATACCCTAAACACCCTTAGCTTTACATAGCTTTATTATGAATTTTTTTTCCATGAACTCTGGGGACGCTACACGGATTCTTACTAAAATGTTCCAGAATATCCCCAATAAATTCTCCAACGATTCCTTCCTCAAACATATTTTTCAAGATGATTAGATGTTATTGCTGTCACAACGGTTTTCATAATGATGCAAGTGAATTATATTCGTTCACATTATACCATGGATTCCTCCTGGAATTCTCAACAATACTCCTTAGGAAATCATTAAGACATTCTTTCTTGATTTATCCATCATATTCAGAACTCATCCTAAATCCTTTTAAAATGCCATGGTTTTAATCGGGATCTCTTCTGCTATTCGCCAAGTATGCATTCCGAATCCTTCAAGAATTTCCTGTGAACTTCTGCGAAAAACCATGATTTTTTTGACAAGGCTTCAAAATTTCTTTCGCGAGTCTTAGAGAGATTTCTTCATGAATTTTAATGATCATTTCTTCAAGAATGCTTCAGAGATTCTATCTGAAATCCTTCTGAGATTTCTTCGTGAATCTTTCAGAATTTCTTCGAAAAATCTTTAGAGATTTCCTTTCTGAATATCTTCTGAATTTATTAGAATTTTTTTTGCGGATCCTTTAAGAATTTTTCCTGGATTTCTTATGAATTATATAAGGAATTTCTTCGGGAACTAGGAGTGCAACACATCTAAATCGCAAATTTAGATGTTCAAAAAATCTCACAGTCCGTCACTGAATTGCTTCGTGAATTTTTCAGTATCTTGTTCCACAATTCTCGAGGCAATTCTGTAAAGATTCATTCCGAAATCCATCTGGAGTATTTTGGGAATCCTTCAAGGTGATACGATCCAGCGTCCACACATAATAGGGATTTTCACTGTCACTTCAAGTTCTCTAGAGACCTAATCTCGGACACTATTGTGGCATTATCAGGCCTTAAATTAAATAAGCAATGCTTCTGCTTTTCTTCATGAATTATTCCGAGAATTTCTTCCAGAATTCCTTCATTTATTTGCGAATCCTTTTGAAAATCCTTAAGGAGTTCCTTCGAGAATCCTACCGAATTGTTTCAAAAAATTTTCAGGTATTTCTTCGGGAGGTTTGTTCATTATTTTATTCTGGAATTATATCGGAGTGTGTTCTTCGAACATTTTTCGAGGATTCGTTTGGGAATCCTTCAGAATGTTTACAGAAAATCTTCTGAGATTTCTTCTGCAATTATGCAAAGATTTACAGCGTGTCTACTCATTATGCTAAATAAAATTCCCTTTAGTTTTCCTGGTTTTTTTCCAGGACTTCAACAAAACATTTCCAGGTTATCAATGAAACCTTTATTTAAAATACGTTAAAAAATTCGAATATTTCTGTTAGTTAAGAATCTTGAAAGCTTCTCATGATTCAAAATCTAGGACATTTTTCCATGCCTGGAATCTGAGGATTCACATTTTATAAGCCCAGAATGTAAAAAAAAATATTTAAATCTTGAAGATTTAATTTTACTAAACCCATATTCAAGATAACATTTCTAAGTATAATATATCAAGTACAAAATGTATAAGCCTCAGTTTTTTGTTGTGATCTTAAAATAAATTGTATGAATCATCTTGATACTGTTGGAGATCTTCATAGGATGTTAAAATTCCTTCAGGGTTCTTCTTAGGAAAAATTAAATTCCCTGAGCATTCCAGGTACTTCCAGGTTTTGAAGGTAGTAGACACTCTGATTTATTAATGAATTTTTCCAAGAACAACAAGGATAATTCTTCAGGGATTTCCTTACTAATACTAATGCTAATGCTTTAAAAACATTCAGATATTTATTCGGGAAGTTACTTCAGAAATTTCTCCAATTTTGTTTTAGGAATTTCTTCGAGAATCCTTCAGTGATTATTTCGGAAATCTCGGCAGGGATTCTTTTGGGAATCTTTCACGGAATTTCTTAACAAATGCAGTGATTTCTTTGGGAATCCTTCAGGGATTTTTTCGGTAATTGTTCAGTGATTTCTTCTACAGTTGTTCAAACAAACATTCCGGAATCCTTCAAAAAAATTATTTAAAATTCTTCAGAAAAGCTTTTGGGATTCCTTTGAGGATCCTTAAAAATTGCTTCTGCAAATCTTCAGGGATTTTTGTAAGAGATTTCTTCATATTTCTTTTAATTCTGGTTTTTTTTTAAATCCTTCAGGATCTCCTTTGGGAATCCTTCTGAATTTATTCATTAACTTCTGCTTACATTTTTAAGGGATTGCTTCGGGAAGAGATTTCTTCAGGAATCCTTCATAGATGTTTCCAGTAGTTTCTTCTGCTATTTTCTAAAGATTCATTGCGGAATCCTATTTTAAATCTTTTGGGAATTTCTGCATGCATCTTGCAAGATTTTTTTCTGAACTTCTTAAAACTTCGGGAATCCATCAGAATTTCTTAAAATTTCACCGAGAATCCTCCAGGTATTTTGCCAGGGATTGCTTCCATAATATTTCAAGAATCCATTCCGGAATTCTTCCTTGAATGCTTTTGAAGTTCTGAAGTACCCTAATATATGTTATGGTTATTTTGCTTAACGACGTGTTCGGGGTATCATTCAAACCATATGTGGAATCGCTCTATCATTTGGGTAATCGTTCGTTTATTAAATGTTTTGTATTAGGGTAATCCTTCAGGAATTTCTTTTAAATAATTCAAAGGTAACTTCGGGAAAACATGCTTTCTTGAATCTATTTGGGAATGCTTCAGAAACTCTTTTTTCAGATATAATGAATTTGATAAACATAAATACCATAAAAATCCTCCAGGATACTTACGCGTTTTTACGAACTTCTTAGGGGATTTTTTCAGAACATGATCTCAGAATACTTAAAGGACATTTTTGGGAATTCATTAGTAATTTAACGTGGAATCATCTCCAAAAAAATATGCCTGGGTTCCTAAATGATTCCCTTTAAAATCCTTCAAGGATACCACGAGCAGTTCATGAAGGATTGCGAAAAGTATACCTTATGAATATTTTTTCAAATAATTCCTTTTATAAGCGTTCTGAGATTCTTCTTTGAATCTTCTAGGGAATTTTATTTTGTGAATTGCCATATATTTTGCGTTTAAATAATCAGTTATGTGTATTACTTTCCTCGTTTATGGTATAATTTACTTTGATGCTTTTTCAAAAAATTCAAAAGCAGTTTTTTTGACGCATTATTTCAGATTGCAAAAAGCTCGCGTCATTTGATTCCTTTTGCTATTTTACACAAAATGACGCGAGCTTTTTGCAATCTGAAATAATGCGTCGAAAAAAAATGATTTTGAATTTTTCGAAAATGCATCAAAGAAAATTGAACCTTATAGCCAAAGTGTGGACTCTAATTCTTCTTTTAATTTTATTTACAGTACAATTAAAGAAAAAGCAGGACTGGGTGAATTCTCCATTCAGCAGATTAAAATCAAGTGGGCCAACTTGACAACAAAATACAAAGTAAGTGTGGAACGCTTTGAATATAATCATAATTTTAACGATTTCCTTTTTCAGGTACTAGTTACACCTCCCACTGGCGGAGCTACGGAGAACGGGGAACAAACCCCAGACGATTGGGAACACTTCAACCAACTTCATGATTTTATGGCAACGCAACATATCATTAACCCACCGTTGGTGGTAAACAGTTGCGGGATTGTGGTGCAAAATTCTCACAATATACCCAATGAAGCTGAAGATAAAGATGCTTATATTTCAAGCGCTGAGTCAGGGCCAATATTATCCAGCCCGGAAGCAGGACCTTAACTTAACTCATAAGGGCTTAACTCGAGGGGCGCGCCCTTCCAGGTTTGTGTGCGTGATATTTAAAATACATCGTTGTAATTTAAATACTTTGAAGGCAGTAATAATTTGAATTTAAATACTTTTAGCGGTATTGAAAATAATCAACACATAATTAACGATAATTAAAATAATGAAACGTAATTTAAGTGTATTGAAAATAATTGAAATACCAAATTTTGTCAGTAATTAAAGTATTTAATTAAATTTAAAGTGTATTTAAAGTAATGAATGCAGTAATGGCAAGATTTTAAATATTTTGTATTGAAAGACTAGTGCGTGCCCCTCGGCTTAACTGCAATGATCTAGAATCGCAAATCAGTCCCATATGAAAAAAAGTAGGTGTTGAGAAAATGACAGTCAAAGCTATGAAGTGCAATTTTCATGTTAATATTTGAAAAACAATAGCAAATTTATTGATATTGTTTTCGAGTTATAATCAGTGGCAATGAGGTTTGCATGTTTTACTATTCAGCGAAAAATATGGTAATTCAAAAAGCAGAATTGTAACTTGACTTTCTGACGATGGAATTTCAGATTGGGACTGATATGCGATTACTTTGCTTGGTGGGAAAAACTGGCTTAATGTTATTTTCACATTTTTCATGATCAAAGTCTGTAGTTTTATCACATAATATGAAACTAGATGCCAATTGATAGTGTATAGCGTTGATATCTCAAAATTGACGAATATCCATATCGACTAACAAGCGATTCTGGGCAGTACAGCGAAGTGAAATAAGTTACCGAAATGCTATCAATGTAGCTGTAAAAATTGTATTAGTAGCAAAAGCAACAGCACCGTAAAAAGTAATACACCGAGGAATGGTAATCTAGCCGAGTTGTTAACAAAAGAGAAATTCGAATAAGAGAATCGATCATTTGCAGGAAGGCCTTTATGATTCTGAGTGCTAGCCAATACAACCTTTAATGTCAGTGTTCACTCGGCTGTCGACAAAAGCAGGCCACTCTCGATGTGTGCTACGCGATCGTCTGTTTTCTCGACAGCAACCATTGTGTGGTCCTCCTCATTGTTCTTCATCAGCAGTTCTTTCGGTCGATGTGTCGTCGACTTTGGAAAGCAACCGTTTCGTGATGAGTGTGTGAGTGCTGACCACGTTTTGTGTCCAGTGCTGCAATGGACGCGCTCTGACCCTCGTTGGCATACAAGAATTTGCCATACAATGAAACTACTGGAAGCGGCTCCAGTTCTGGTGGAGGAGGCTTTTTGGTTAGCGGAAGATAAAGTGTTTATTGTGTTGTACCTTTTGACTATAGTTTTAAGATGTATTGTATAGTGACCAAGAATCCTCGGCTCTGTAAAGTTAATTCGGTTGAGCCTTATCAAATAAATTAATAACCAAAAAAAAAAAAAAACCTTTAATGTCACTGTAGTAGAAAAAATCGGAATATTAGTTCACGCTACTATAATACTAGTTCATAGAGAAGGTAGATTAGCAGAATCAAAAAAGCCCGTATGATTTATTAACGCTTAATATATATTTCAAGACAGTGTAGTAAAAGTTTGTATTGGCTAGCAAAATCAAAGGGAATGCACCAGTATCCAGCTGAGTTATTAACAAAGGAGGAAACGAATGAAGAAAATCGATCACTGTAGCTAAGCTATTTTGTCAAGAAAATAAAGAACTGTATTTTATAGTTATTTTATTGTAATTCTGAAGTTATTTGGAGTCGGTAATGTGTGCAATGCATTCAACTAATTTGATTCAGCATATGTTGCAAAAGAGTCTGACGGAATGCGATTCCTTCTCCAGTGTCTCTTCCAGGTGGTTCACCACACTCGTTCCGTTCTGTTCTATTGTCAGCAACTTGCTCCGTCTCTTCAATAATAGGTTCTGCTTCCATTACGTCCTTTTCGTCAACACATATATTGTGGAGTACGCAACAAGCCACAATGACCTTAACCGAATTATCGATTCGAAGCTCCAAATCTTTATTAAAGATACTCCTCCATCTCGTTTTCAACTGCCCGAAAGCACACTCCACAACAGTCCTGGCCTTGCTGTGAAAATTGTTGAATTTCTTCTCCATCGGTGTTAGACGTCGACGCTCGGTCTCCTTAAAGGGAGTTACGATAGCTATCGGATATATACTACACGGATACCCGCTATCCCCGAGCAGATAGTATCCAACCGGAGGGTACAAACGCCGATAGTACAAAGGACTATTATACATTACCCTTGTATCGTGAACCGATCCTGGAAATCCCACACAAATGTCAACAAATTTGAAGTTGCTGTCGCACACCGCCTGGCATTGAATGGAGTAATTAAGCTTCCGGTTGATGTACTGGTCATGCAGAGTAGGAGGACACTTTATCCGTACATGTGACCCATCAATCGCACCAGCCGCTCGTTCAAAAATGCAAGTGTTAGCTCGGTTACAAAAACGTGACCCTATTTCACGCAATTCGAGCTCAGTTGGGTACTTTATTACCTGCATCATCAGAACATCGATGCAAAATTCCAACATTTTTGAGCAGACCCGCTTGACTGTTGTTCGTGGTATATCGAATACTGCTCCGGCGACGCGGTAACTTGTCCCAGCGGCCAGCCAAAACAAAAACACGGACAACTCAATTTCTACTTCCCACCCAGAACGCTTGTGTGGCATCAAGCTGATGATTTTCCGGAACACTTCAACAGAAACGCGAAGATGCTTCTTGATGGTCTTGGGATCTTGTTTTAGAATATTCATCATCAAGGCTGAAGGGACATTTGTAGCATATTTACGTCTGCCGGGTTCCTAAAAATCAACAACAAAACTAATTAAAAATCAAACTTTACAGTGAAAAATCACAGAGTGAAAAAAATAATTACCGCATTTGACGAAAACAACGAAATTTTTAAAAATTCGAAATCATCTTCACGTAGCTTATAGATGTAAAAATAAATAACTAGCAGGACAATAATCAGTAACTCAGCATCCGAAAACATGATGGCGCATGCAAACACTAGCGAAACAGTCGATTCATCCGGATATAAACTCCCGGACACGGCCACTCAGAACGGCTTAGCCTGAAAAAAAAAGATCTATCAATAATTACCTGTTCCTCCATCGTGTTCAACTCCGGAACTTACCGGATACTGGATGGAGACCAGACCAGCACAGAACTCTTCCCTTTCCATGGGAACGAAACTATCGACTAATCCGGATACGAACTGCCGGACGATACTTTCGGTCGATACGAGGAACGGACACGGGGACACTGACAAGCGGCACGGTATCAAACAGCAAACCAAAGCTAATCTTCCGATAAATCCAGCCAAGCAAAAGATCAATTGGCCCAAGAAAAACTTATTTTTGACACTTGAATGATTCAACGGAGGGGAAATAATTTCTCATCTGTCAAGTTTAAGTGAAAATTATCCAATTGGAACACAGCCTAAATATTAATGGAAACTGTCATTCCATCAGTTGTATATGGTGATACAGATTTGTCACTCTATGGGCGAGGAGATCGCTGTACCATCAAAAATCTATCTTGGCTTGATCATGAATTTGACAATAGAACACCTATATATAGTCACATTAGAACACCTATATAACAAGCTGAACATTGTCCTAAGTAACATTGATCGATTCTCTTCGTCGTCTTTCTCTTTCATTAATAACTTGAGCACATATGCGTTTCTTGTTGTATTTGCCGTATTAGATGCTAGATAAAAACTTCTTTTATCGATCTGTGTGCAGAAAATACCTGAGAATGAACTGTACATGCCCGTATGGAAACAAAGAGAAAGTCGACGAAGAGAATCGTGAATGTTACTTAGGATCTAATGCAATGTTAAGCTTGATATAGTCACCTTGATGTACACAGTTTTATACCCCGGACAGACTATAGCTTATATCATGTAATATAGGCTGGCTTGCAATGAGCACTCATACATCTAATTTTCACTGGAAATCCTATATATGAATGCTCATTGCAAGCCAGCCTATATTACATGATATAAGCCATAATCTGTCCGGGGTTTTAGCGAACAAATTTACATATATAGGTATACCGTCTAATCTAAACGACACTTCACAGACAAACAGACGTAACGCTTTGAAAAAGTTTTTCTTGAAAACATAGTACCCAAAACATAGGACCTAAGTAACGACATCTATCGGGTTTCTCGTGGAAAACAAGCTTGCTCGCTAACTCGCAAACAATATTGCATAAAAGTTCTATAGAATGTATAGAAACGTCACAGTCAAACAGACATAACACATTGAATATTTATCACTGTAAAACATCGTCGCAAAAACATTACCGCCATCTGTTGAGTACACTGTGGTGGGTAGTACGCTGAACAGATGGCGGTAGTGTGTAAATGTCAAACGCAAGAGAATTGACTATGCGCGCCACAGGTGGTGGTACTACCAACTACGATACTTTTAAATTGACTGTTAAATGCTTGTTCGATGAACAACTTGCGAGTGTTATGTCTGTTTGTCTGTGGAAACGTCAAAGTGATCCGATGCCAGCGCTGGCGTGTGGTTCGCGGAACTGATAATATTCAAATCAACCGTTAAATGCGTGAACGAAGATACACAATGAAGTGTTACGTCTGTTTGTCTGTGGACACTTCATTCATATTGAACTTCTAGCCTTGTTTGCTGCTTTATTTTGATTCTCCGTGCTGTTTCACAATGTTCCAATTCGCTTTACGTTGACGTTCGAATCGTTTTTAGATTGCATGGCGTGCAGATTAGCGGGGTTCAAATTAAAAAGTGTTCAGATTACAAACGGTAAAACCTGGAGTCCACGGTATTAAAAAATTCAGGTGATACATGTCAAGGTTTTGGTAATACCAACAATCAATACGAAACTAACGATTTTAAATTGGCTCACCACTTTAGTAGCCTACCTATTGGTCCCAAGCAAACGATTAACGTACCCTATTCTAGTTGAAATTCTATTACTACACTATGTTTGTTTTGATTCGCTATGAAAGTTTGACAGATAACATCAGGGGTGTGTGGATTCATGCAGAACATGCAGGGGTAAGTGAAATAGCTTGGGACTGCTTGGGACCGTTGTTCTGGTACTGAGTGAGCCAAAAATAATAATGATTTTCTTCGGGACCCAGTGGTCTTAGAGTTACCTCTATGGTAATACCCATACACTGTCAAGATCAAGATACTGTGTCAAGATCATTTACGCTTAGGGTTTATAATAGATTGTTGAACCGATACTACAGGAAAATCCTCCGATTGTTTTTTTTTAATAGTCCATGAATTACGAGATTTTTTTTCCTTTGATATGTTTTCCGTCGATTTTGTTTTCCGTACTGAATACCAACGTTACCGACGCCAAAGAGGCAGCTCCCACACCTGAACCCTAGCTATCGACCCATCAACTCATGGACCAACAGTTTTGTTTTCCGTGATCAGAGATTTTATGCCTCAGAAAATTCCGACGGCGCCGAATGGGGTTGAACCCAGGCCCTTTTTAAGTTATAGACAGTCACGCTTACCACTACACCACTGGCGTCGCTGAAAACGAGAATTATAGGATACCGTAAATATCACCCATTCAAAGTTTTCGGAAAGCCTAACAAAATCAAACAATTACTTAATTTAATTTAATGCATATATAATTTGAACTTCAATTTCTACCCCCTCATCAATCATTTCAGCACACTGTCGTTGTCAGTTTGCCTTCTTTGTCCACATCTCGCTCCATCAGTTGCTGAATTTCCTCAAACGACTTACCTTTCGTTTCGGGAATCCAAAAATATATCAGCACAGTGGTCACAGTAGTGCACGTAGCAAATATCCAAAAGACCACATACGTCCCCGCCCCGTCCGAAATAATTTGAAACAGTTTGACGACCGTAAACACTATCAGCGAAGTAATGACGGTAAACACTGCATTCGCGTTGGCTTTGATGTTCTTGGGAAAGATTTCACCCAATATGGCGAACGGAACGGTTGCCAGCCCGAGAGCAAATGATACTATGAAACCCAACGTGGCAACAAATGGAATCCAACCAAGTGTGTCCACCGGATAACCCATGGCGTCCAGCGTGAAATATGAACTGCAAATTGTCAGTGCAATGACGGATGCGATACTTGAAATCAGCAGCAGTGGTCGTCGTCCGGTTTTGTCGACGAAAAATGTAGGAATGAATACGGCCACCAGTTGTACGATTGCCAAAATGATTGACAGTTCCGCAGCCGTCAGGTTCATTTCCAATTCGGAAAATATCGTTTGTGAGTAACCTAGGATGGCGTTGATGCCAGTGAGTTGCATGCCGAAAGATAGCAGCAAAATTATGCCCAAACTCTTCCGGTTACGTTTCGTCAATAGATCGAGTAAGGATCTGCGATCATGACGATTTTTTTCGACCAACGATTGCATCTGGTGAAACTCTTGGCGAAAATCTTCGTTATAGAAATCGGATCTTCGCAACCAACGTAGACTGTTGAGAGCGGCTTCGTCGTTTCCGTGAGCTAAGTAGTGGTACGGTGTTTCTGGCATCCAACAAAATGTGACTAAAAAGATGGCCGGAAAGACGAGAGAGATCAATGCCAAAGAGCGGAAGCTCACGTAGGGTCCAATGCTGTATTGTAACAGGAACGCCAGCTTTGCCATGACGGTGACAAGCACACCTGTTGAGCCACGTATGGTTTTCGAGGATATCTCGCCCAGATAGATCGGCGCCACGCCGTAAGTCGTTCCATAAGCGAGGCCATGCAAAAAACGTGCTACGTAGATCGTTGGAACATTAGTGGCAAACACTATCATGATCCATCCGATGACCAGTGGGATCATGGAGATGATCAACGTAAATTTACGGCCAAAATGGTCAACCAGTGGACTCATGATGATGGCACCGAAGCAGCCTCCGATCGAGAGAATCGATACAATCCATGATCCCTGGTCTGGTGTGATTTTGATGTGTGATTCTGGACTCAGGAGTGCCGGAATTGCTGGAGATGACCACCCGGCTGTTGCAACCGTTGCCACCAGAGACAACGTGGCTGAAATGATACTGCCTTAGTGGATTGTTGGCTTTTCAGAATGGTAAATAGTGTTGTTGCCTACCGGTAACAGCTGCAAAATACTCGTTACGATAGTTGCCTGAACCGGCTTCGTTACTTCTTGTGACCATCTTTTTCGACCTGCCGAATGGAACTAAAGATGGGTAAGATGATGGACGGACTACTGTCCGAGATTAATTAAAACCCTCTATGCAAGTGACTCTAATAAAGATTAAGAAATAATATAGATAACACGGCGAATGTTTGAGTTTAGTTCATTCACTGAAGCGGTTTTTCGTGTCATCCGATTGTCTTTATTTCAAGCTCTATGGCCGTTTGAAGGTGGACAGTTGTGTAATATTCCGGTTCGATTTTACCTATAGCTCAAGGTAAACATTACTAGCTTAGGTAAACATCTCCGAAATGGGTTAGTAGCCGGGTCCAGCATTAAAGTTGCGGCGTAAAGACCTTGATAATGATAATTATGTCGTCAGGCTTATCAGCGCAACCATTTATGACATGGCACTTGACCGAATTTTTCAAACGTCTTACTTTCTCCACTATGACAGACACTTTGATGGGCATGCGATTTAACGTTGTGATCAAGGACGTCAGCAATACTTCTAATCGAAGCGTGGGATACGAATTAAAGAATTAGCGGAGAGATTAGAAGATGAAAACAAAGGCATTGATTGTAATTGGCGTTCACGGCTCTTTACTCATATGGTAAAATCTATAAGCAAACGCGGACTTCGTACTATCCGTTCACTCCACTGAAAATTCCCATAACAAACTGTCAACCTTTGCTAAAAGAGACGATTTTTCGACGGTTCCATGAGAGCCAATTAAAATGACTCGCTCTGACAATTTGCAATCTACAAATAATTGAAACACCGCAAGATAAGCGACATTAATTCCTTCACTTATTTGCATTGTAATAAAGAAGCATTTTTATCGTGATAAGCCCATGCGTTATGTCGTTTATTGTACTTGCTAATTTTCGGTTAAAACCAGATCCACAGACTCAAAAAAAAACCCGAATTTATCCACCTATGGTGTGATCAGACCCTTCTTACTTATTCAAGTTTATTTATTTTATTGTCATTATCAGTGACCAAGCCCCCCACCCCCGTGTCATCCAGTGACGCTACGCCACTGCCTGGGGGTACCCGGAATATATCCGGGTGTAGTCTATTTGGTGAGGCTACCAATCACCTTATCATCGTATTTTAATGTGATTTAATGGGTTTTAATTCAATTCATATTCAAGCAGTATGCTCAAATGTTGAAGGCTGCATCAGCCGTCCAAGATGCAAACCAATTTTCGGTTTTGTCAGTTGAAGAATCGGACTCTGACTCATCCGATGAAGGTGATTCTACGGTGGTACACGCACCTTCAAAAATAGACGGTTCCTCAAAAAGAAAATGCCCCTCCCCGAAAGTGCGCCGTAAGAAAACTAAAGTCACCTCCAGACGATTGCCAAATTCCCAGGGTAATGGGGATGAAAAAACAAAACCGAAGGCTCCTGTTGATCCAATCCCTGGATGCAGCAAGAATTTTCCGCCATTGCCCAACAAAGATAAAAAAAATAAAAAAGCTGCTCCTCAAACTTCTCAAAAGAAATCCAAGTCCGAACGAGGTTTGCTAGCTTTTTCGGACATTGTGGAATTCATATTAAACATGTTCAACATACAAGACCCTCTAAGAAGCTTAGTTTCTGCCTTGCTTCCAACGTTAGAATCATATCTTAAGCAATTGACTGTTTCATGGCCCCTCCTTGCATCAATCATATCTTTCGATGGATAATTCGTCGAACGAGGTTGAAGATATGATCACTGTGCTACAGTGGAACTGCCGTAGTCTAGTGCCTAAACTAGACTCGTTCAAATTTTTACTTCACAATTCTGATTGTGATATATTTGCTCTCTGTGAAACATGGCTTTCTTCCGATAAAGAACTCAACTTCCACGATTTTAACATTATACGCCTGGATAGAGACGATTCTTATGGAGGAGTACTTTTAGGGATCAAAAAGTGCTTCCTGCTTTATCCGGCGTCGAAATCGTTGCTTGCCAAATAAATGTGAAGAACAAAGATCTTTGCATAGCTTCAGTATACGTTCCACCAAGAACCTCCATTAGCCGTAGTCAACTCTGGAATCTAGTTTCGATTCTTCCATCCCCAGTATTAATTCTGGGTGATATGAACTCCCATGGTACTGGGTGGGGCGATCTATATGACGACAATAGAGCGGCTATTTTTTACGATTTATGTGACGATTTCAATTTGACTATTTTGAACACTGGTGAAGCGACACGTATAGCAAAACCTCCGGCTCGAGAAAGCCGACTCGACCTATCTTTGTGTTCAAGATCGCTGTCATTGGATTGTCAGTGGAAGGTTATCAATGATCCCCATGGTAGCGATCATTTGCCAATCATCATTTCAATAAAGTGTGGCCCTCACTCTGCAGAACCATCTCGGGTTCCATTTGATCTTACAAGGAACATCGACTGGCAGAAATATGCAACGGCGGTGACAATCGGTGTCGAATCAATAGATGCGCTTCCACCATTGGAAGAATATCGATTCCTAGCCGATTTGATTTACAAAAGCTCACTGGAAGCACAAAAAAGAAAAGTTCCAAGTGCACCCTTTAAAAGGAGACCAGCCACACCTGGTTGGGACGAAGAATGCACAAAATTGTATGTAGAAAAATCTGATGCTTTCAAAGCTTTTCGTAGACACAAAACCTCCACTTACTTCGAGGAATATTCAAAGCTTGAGACAAAGTTGAAACAATTAATCAAAGCAAAAAAACGCGGTTATTGGCGCAATTTCGTCGAGGGACTCTCACGAGAAACCTCAATGAACACCTTGTGGAGGGTGGCTCGCAACATGCGTAACCGCTCATCTTTCAATGAGAGTGAAGAATACTCCAACCGATGGATATTCGATTTCGCTAAAAAGGTCTGTCCGGACTCAGTTCCAGCACAAAATATTCTTCGAGAAGCGTCTCCTAGCGGCGGCTCTCTGGATAGACCATTCTCAATGCTGGATTTCTCTATGGCTCTTCTTTCATCGAACAACTCCTCACCGGGAAGCGATATGATTAAATTCAATCTTCTGAAAAATCTCCCAGATATCGCTAAAAGACGCTTGCTAGATTTATTCAATTCCTTGCTAGAAAACAACATTGTACCGCCTGAATGGAGACAGGTCAAAGTAATAGCCATTAAAAAACCTGGCAAATCAGCGTCTGACCATAACTCATACCGTCCGATTGCTATGCTTTCGTGCATTAGGAAATTGTTGGAGAAAATGATCCTTCGGAGACTCGATCACTGGGTCGAATCAAATAACTTGCTATCAAATACACAATTTGGGTTCCGCAAGAGCAAAGGAACAAACGATTGTCTAGCGCTGCTTTCCACAGATATTCAACTGGCCTTTGCACACAAGGAGCAATTGGCTTCAGTATTCTTGGACATTAAGGGGGCTTTTGATTCAGTTTCCATTGAAATTCTGTCAGACAATCTGCACAGATGTGGACTTTCTGGAATTTTAAATAATTTCTTGTACAATTTGTTGTCAGAAAAGCAAATGAACTTTTCCCTTGGACAACTGACAACTTCCAGAATTAGCTACATGGGCCTGCCCCAAGGCTCATGTCTCAGCCCTCTTCTTTATAACTTTTACGTCAAAGATATCGACAACTGTTTGGCAGAACAATGCACGCTAAGACAACTTGCAGATGACGGTGTGGTTTCCGTAAGAGGTCCACATGCCGTGGACTTGCAAGGACCATTGCAAAATTCCTTAGATAACTTGTCTTCTTGGGCTATGAATCTAGGGATCGAATTCTCGCCGCAGAAAACTGAACTGGTAGTGTTTACTCGAAAGCGGTACCCAGCCCAAATGCATCTTAATCTTTTGGGCAGAAACATTACTCAATCATTGTCTTTCAAGTACCTTGGGGTCTGGTTTGATTCAAAGTGCACTTGGAATGCCCATATTACGTATTTGAAGCAAAAATGTCAGCAGAGGATCAACTTTCTCCGTTCAATTTGCGGCACATGGTGGGGTGCTCATCCGGGAGACCTCATAACGCTTTATAAAACAACTATTCTCTCTGTTCTAGAGTACGGCTCTTTCTGCTTTCTCTCGGCAAGAAAAAGTCACCTAATAAAATTGGACCGAATTCAATATCGTTGTCTGCGTATTGCTCTAGGCTGTATGCACTCAACGCATAACATGAGTCTCGAGGTTCTGGCAGGAGTAACACCCCTCCAGAACCGTTTCTGGGAGCTCTCTCTCAGAATACTAATCAAATGCGGAGTGACGAACACACTTATAATTGCTAATTTTGAAGAAATTCTTGGGCTGAACACACAATCTCGATTTATGAGAATCTACCACCACTACATATCATCAGATATGTGTCTTCCTTGTTATACTCCAGACCGTGTTCACTTCACCAATCGCAGTTCCTCAATTGAATATGATCTGACCATGAAACAAGCAACTCATGGGATTCCCGATCAACTTCGACCTATTATTATTCCGCGTATTTTTACTGAAAAGTACCAACAAGTCAATTGCATGAAAAGATATTTTACAGACGGGTCCCGTCTCAATGGATCCACTGGCTTCGGTGTCTTCAATGAAAACTCTAGCGCCTTCCGCAAACTTCAGGAACCTTGTTCCGTTTTTGTTGCTGAGCTGGCAGCAATCAACTTCGCATTGGGGATGATTTCCAACATGCCCGCAGACCATTACTTCATCTTCTCGGATAGTCTCAGTTCGATTGAGGCTATTCGGTCGATGAAACCAAGTAGGCACTCATCTTATTTCCTTTCAAAGGTAAGGGAGCAGATGAGTGTACTGGTCGAAAGATCATATATGATTACCTTTGTATGGGTCCCATCACATTGCTCAATCCCAGGCAATGAGAAGGCGGACTCTCTCGCAAAGGTGGGCGCGCAGGAAGGCGAATTGTATGACAGGCAAATTTCACACGATGAATTTTACCATTTAGTGCGTCAGAGTACCTTTTCGAGTTGGCAAACCGATTGGGACACTGGAAATCTTGGACGGTGGTTACATTCAATTATTCCTAATGTTTCTTCGAGAGCGTGGTTTAAAGGCTTGGGCTTAAGTCGTGACTTCATTCGCGTGATGAGTAGACTTATGTCCAACCACTACTCGCTAGATGCTCATCTCAATAGAATAAACCTCGTGGACAGCAACATCTGTCGGTGTGGAAACGGTTACGATGACATCGAACACGCAGTTTGGCAATGTACGGATAATGACGCCGCCAGAGAGCGACTTTTGAATACCCTCGAGGCCCAAGGAAGACAACCCTATGTTCATATCAGAGACGTGTTGGCAACCCGTGATCTCTGCTATATGCAGTCCGTTTATGTTTTTCTTCAAATGTCTAGTATAAGAATTTAATTCCTTTTGTCTTTTGTCTCTCTTTATTAGTTTTTGTTTGTCTTGTCCCCCCGTCTCGATGAGTCTCATCGTCGCCCACTGGTCACCCACCATAGCCGGTCGAACTCCGGACGAAGCTAGAACAGCACTACCGTTCATACTGGCGACAACGCTCTGATGAGACAACGAAACCCTACCCCAAGCTCCTCCCCTGATCCTATCCTTCGAAAATGTACCCTTCTAACCTCGAGTAAGCCGCGAGTAATCGGCCCAACTCCTACTAGACATAGAATTAAGTGAATTTTGTTACACACAGTGAACAATGAATTATCGGCTCCGTAAAGCTAAAGCGATTGAGCCTCCCAAATAAACGAACTAGATAAAAAAAAAAAAAATATTCAAGCAGGTACCCGGAACATGTCCAAGTGTGTCCAATGTGGTCTGGAACACTTAACACGACTTGCATTGATCTTATTTTTGAATTCTGTAGTAATTTGATGTGTCGCATGATGGTTTTGATACGTTTTCCGTTAAATCCAGCGTGAAGGCCCATATTCACCGGATCTTATTCCGGCCATATCTCCGGAACCGGTTCACCGATTCCAAAACCGTTCAATAGCGTTCAATGGGACCCCAAGACCTATCATTTGGCGCCGAGTTTGTCCAAATCGGTTGAGCGGTTGCTGAGAAACGTGAGCGCATTCATTTCGTTACATACACACACACATACACACACACACACACACACACACACACACACACACACATACACACGTACACACACACACACACACACACAGACATGTTCCGATCTTGTCGAGCTGAGTCGAATGGTATATGACACTCGGCCCTCCGGGCCTCGGATCGATAGTCGGTTTTTCAAGTGATATCTATACCCTTCTTTGTAAGAAGGGTAAAACGGTGACGTCGAGTCGTGCCTTTCAATTGCTACCTTATCAAATCGTTTGGGTAATCCTTATCACTTTGATTGGTTGTACTGGAAGTACCTACACATAAGGTGTAGTGATTTGGTGGTCAGCTATGCGTAGCAATGCAGATAAGTAAACCCCACTGCTAGCGTGCGCTTGTTTGGGTTATCTTGAATCCTCTCTAGCTTCAAGACAATCACGATGATGAACAAGTAGCAATCAATCATGAACAAGCTATTTTGGCTATAATCGAGATTATTTTTGCTGGCGAAACTTTGCCTATTCGGAATTGTGAGTTGAAGGTGACTGGACGTTGAGAGAGAACTTGCAGAGACCTGAGTTCCATACATAAAATTCAATTCGAAAAGGACTGGCGTTCTCGCGAAAAATTGACCATGGGAGTTTGGGAAAATGTGAAAGACTTCGGGAAATATTCAAACCAATATTTGGCAGCTTTCACAGGTAATCATTGTTATTTAAGAGCCCAATCCTAGCAACCATTTTAGGTGCAGACTAGCTTATACTGGCAAAAATTAGCTGTATATGCCAATTATGGTCTGCATAAGCTATTCTACAGCTAAAGTTGCTAGTTGGGAAGTTCATCGTTACAGAAATACCTTTCAAAGCAAAAGGAATAATCTTAATCGTTTGCTAAAAGCTATTTTAAAGCATATTGTAGTTGTCTTTCACCATTTAAGCTCATCATCTCATTCCTCACAGCATGGTCAGCAATGGAACAGTGAAAATTCCCACACGCCTAATCGACACTCTATATGATTGCTAATCGATGACCGTCGACCTCATCCTGCATGTTATCTTATCATTTCACATCTCCCACCTATCAATAAACCAACCAGTGGATTAGCTATTTCTCATTATGTTTGTATACAACCAGTTATCAGCGGCTCCTCCCTTACAAAGTGATTATTATTTTATTTCGAAAAATCTTCCAGTCACCCTGCTCACATTTTCCGTAATTGCATCATACGGGTGGACCTCGCCAACGCTACCGATCCTGCTAGCGGATGATTCCCCACTGCCCATCACCCCAGATGAGAGCTCATGGATCGTGTCGATACTGGTCCTTGCGTCCATTGCCGGGCCCATACCGACGGCGTGGTCTATCGACAAATTCGGCCGCAAATACACCATGCTTTTCGCCGCTATCCCAGCCATCATCGGATGGATTCTGATCGGCGTGGCCGAATCCGTTCCAGTCCTGTACGTTTCTCGGTTTCTCAGTGGGATTTCGTATGGAATGTCATACTCGTCGCTGCCAATCTATCTCGGTGAAATCGCCTCTGATCCTATCCGAGGTTCCATCGGCACGCTGCTCACCGTGATGGCTAAGGCAGGTATTCTCGTAGAATACAGCATCGGACCTTTCGTTGGCTTCCGGACTCTTGCTTGGATTTCTCTGGCTTTCCCAACATCCTTCTTCCTGCTGTTTATATGGATGCCAGAATCACCGTACTACCTTCTGGCGAAGAACAACGATGAATCGGCCCAGAAGAGCTTGAGCTGGCTTCGTAAACGCGACGAAGTTACCGACGAACTAGCCATGATGAAGGCAGCCGTGGAACGATCCAAACAGAACAAAGGAACATTCCGCGAACTGCTAACACGGGGCAACCGACGATCGCTGATTATTGTTATGGGATTGGGAGCTCTTCAACAACTCTGCGGTAGCCAAGCTATCATTGCATATTCGCAGCAAATCTTTGAAGAAGTTCAAAGTGGCTTACAAGCTCACGAGTCATCGATCATTATGGCAGTTATCCAGCTGACAACAGCAGCATGCTCGTCATCTATCGTAGATAGAGTTGGCAGAAGACCACTCTTACTTCTTTCAACTGCTGGCTGCGCTATAGGAACATTCATCGTGGGGCTGTACTTCTTCCTGCAACACCAAGAAGTCGAAGTTCAAAGCGTCAGTTGGATTCCATTGGTCGTGATAATGCTGTATATCATTTCGTACACCATCGGTTTGGCAACGGTGCCATTTGCAATTTTAGGCGAACTGTTCCCGTCCAACGTGAAAGCCATAGCTGCTGCCATGTATACGATGGTTGCATCGTCCATTGGCTTTGGCGTGGCAAAACTCTATCAGGTCATATCCGACGAGCTTGGGACGTACGTATCGTTCTGGATCTTCGCGTTATCTTCGTCGCTATTTCTGATTTTTGTGTTCGTGCTTGTGCCGGAAACGAAGGGCAAGTCATTGGATGAAATTCTCGAACAAATGCATGCAGGGCAAAATAGGAGTTTGAACTGTGGTAGCTGCTGTGGTCGAAAGAAGTCAGTTAAATTGTAGAAGTATTGTGATCTGGTAGAATACTTAATAAAAAAGTTTCAACGAATCATAAGGATTTGAGAAATTAAAATCAACATAGTGTTTATTGTGATGACAAATCAAAAATATAAATTGGAATTTAAGTGCATATATTATTCAGCGGTTAGGCTTTGGCACATATTAGATTTCCGGATAAGCTGACGCGATTGGACAAGGTGACGATGGGTCAGGTGTTGTGCATTGAACAACATAGCTAGTGACGATATGGATCGACTTGTGAACGCTCTAGTCCAAAATCTTTAGGGTTACCCACATTAGATCCGTTTGCGTTGTGTTGACGTAAATTTGAAAATTAGATTCACCGCTTCACCCAACTGACAATTCTAGACCCTACTGCTTGAGGCCATCAAGTGCCTTCCGGCTTATGACTCATTCTTAGCATACTTTGAAGAAATCCTAGGGGCATCTCACTCTAAACTTTGTATTTTTCCCAATACACAAACTCAGTTCTAAATGTGGAATTGTGTATGCTGGAAAATCAAATATTCAAGATTTATTGGTTCAACTTTGAGTTTGTGAGAAGTTTGAGTACTTATAGTAATATGATTCTTATTTGAATTAATTTTTTTTTTAACTGACTTCGAGAATTTTCCTTTTTATGCTCGACAAACTTTTTCGAAGTGATTTTTTCCGCATACAGAACAAGAAACCTTCACGAAAGCATGCCAATCACCATAATAATTACATTTTCGTGACTTAGTTGACTTGATCTTGTTGACGTCCACACTCCTGTCCAGAGAAAGTGCCTGGGAATGTCTTACTGTAATCTCTTCCTTCCGGCATAGGTCTTGGTTGAAGTGATTTCCGGCATCGTTAGCATCTTAGTCTTCAAGTGCGGCCATTTATTCGAAACCACTAGCTTGTAGGTCAACATTTCGCTTTCCAGAGCGCCAAATTTGCATGGTTTTGCCATCGCCTTCAATCTTGACACAAAATCGTCATTGGTTTCTCCTGCTGATTGTGCAGCAGTAAAAAAAAATCTAATCGGTTTACAATCATATTACGTGCACTTTTCGTTTGATTGCTGAGTGCAGTTTCTGTATTCTGCTTGTCTTCCACTGTTAGCTCGAAATTAAATTACTTCTTAAGAGCTACCCAACTAACAATTTTAGCTGCAGATTAGCTTATACAGAGAAAAATTGGCTTATTCAGCTAATTTTTGCCTGTATAAGCTAGTCTGCAGCTAAAATTGTTTGTTGGGTAGTGTTCTGATGACTGACAGCAGGATGCTTACCTTCTTAGGATTCTCTTCATTCGGCCACTGATCCATCCCAACTGCAGTGGCATAGTTCCCCAAGTTCAGGGTTACTTCCACTCACTTGCTATAAAAAAAAATGTTTTTCCGAATTACGAAAATATTAGATATTATAAAAATAATTTGTACCTGTAAGCAGGGTTGCTTCCACTCACTTGCTATAAAAAAATATTGTTCGGAATTATGCAATCATTAGATGCAATAATGCTATGTTGCACTTGTAAGTAACAAGAAGATGTAGTAATGTATGTGTTTGACTCATAAAACCTGTCAATTTCGCTTTGAGAGCGTCACAATTAGCGATCTTATGATTCGTGAGCGTTCACTCAGGGTGAGCACTCACGAGTCGTAAAATCGCTGATTGTGGCACACTGAAAGCAATTTTGACAGATGTTATGTGTCAAACATATACTTCCTGACCTGTTCTTGTAACCTGAGCGTCTGTTCACCATGGAGGTGCGGCTCAAAACGGCGTCTGTTCTCCATGTTAGGAGCGGCTGATCACCGTCCTAGTGCCAGCGTGGGACTCTAAACAGAGCTGTGCACGATGGTCCCCCGGCCCAACAAGCCGCCCTGGAAAAAAAACAAAGTTGCAAATACCGAAGAAAGAAATACGGATCGGAGCAATCGGCACAGACCTACACGACGAAATAAGGACTACGATTGGAAACTCGGAACATGGAACTGCAAATCGCTCGGCTTCCCGGGTTGCGATAGGTTAATCTATGACGAACTTCAACCACGCAACTTCGAAGTCGTAGCACTGCAGGAACTTTGCTGGACGGGACAAAAGGTATGGAAAAGCGGGCATCGAGCGGCTACTTTCTACCAGAGCTGTGGCACCACCAACGAGCTGGGAACCGGCTTTGTAGTGCTGGGTAAGATGCGCCAACGCGTGATTGGTTGGCAGCCGATCAACGCGAGGATGTGCAAGTTGAGGATTAAGGGCCGTTTCTTCAACTACAGCATCATCAACGTGCACTGCCCACACGAAGGGAGACCCGACGACGAGAAAGAAGCGTTCTATGCGCAGCTGGAGCAGGTGTACGACGGCTGTTCGCAACGGGACGTCAAAATCGTCATCGGCGACATGAACGCTCAGGTAGGACGGGAGGCAATGTATAGACCGGCAATCGGGCCAAACAGCCTGCATGCCGTATCGAACGACAACGGCCAACGATGCGTGAACTTTGCAGCCTCCCGGGGTATGGTAGTTCGAAGTACCTTTTTCCCCCGCAAGGATATCCACAAAGCCACCTGGAGATCACCTGACCAACACACAGAAAACCAAATCGATCACGTTCTAATCGACGGGAAATTCTTCTCCGACATTATCAACGTCCGCACGTACCGCAGTGCGAACATAGATTCGGACCACTACCTAGTTGCAGTATGCATGCGCTCAAAACTCTCGAGTCGAACGCCGCGACCCAACATTGAGCAACTACGGGACGCCGGAGTTACCCAGGACTACGCGCAGCAGCTGGAAGTTGCACTACCCACGGAAGAGCAGCTTGGCGCAGCTTCTCTTGAAGATGGCTGGAGGGACATCCGTTCAGCCATAGGTAGTACTACTGCAGCGGCAGTAGGTACTGCAATCCCGGACCGAAGAAATGACTGGTTTGACGGCGAATGCAAACTGTTAGTAGAGGAGAAGAATGCGGCACGGGCGAGAATGCTGCAACACCGCACGAGATTGAATGTGGAGCGATACAGACAAGCGCGGAACAGACAAAACGCGGTTTTCCGAAGGAAGAAGCGTCAGCAGGAAGACCGAGATCGCGAGGCGATGGAAAATATGTACCGCGTAAACGACACACGGAAGTTCTACGAAGAGCTAAATAGTTCGTGCAAAGGCTACGTGCCGCAAGCCGATATGTGCAAGGACTTGGACGGTAACCTTCTCAGGAACGAGTGTGAGGTGATTGAGAGGTGGAAGCAGTACTATGACGAGCACCTCAACGGTGAAGCAGCAGAAAACGAAGGTGGCACGGCAACAGGCCTTGGAGCACGCGCAGAAGACGACAGACTACCGGCCCCTGATCTTCAAGAAGTTGAGGAGGAGATCGGTCGGCTGAAGAACAACAAAGCAACTGGTGTAGATCAACTACCAAGTGAGCTATTAAAATACGGTGGTGAAGCACTGGCTAGAGCGCTGCACTGGGTAATTTCCAAGATTTGGGAGGAGGAGATATTACCGGAGGAGTGGATGGAAGGTGTCTTATGCCCAATCTACAAAAAGGGCGACAAGTTGGATTGCTGCAAGTACCGCGCGATCACACTGCTGAGCGCCGCCTACAAAATACTCTCCCAAATTCTATGCCGCCGTCTGTCACCATATGCAAGAGAGTTCGTGGGGCAATACCAGGCGGGATTCATGGGTGCCCGCGCTACCACGGACCAAATTTTCGCTATTCGGCAGGTTCTGCAGAAATGCCGCGAATACAACGTGCCCACACATCATTTGTTCATCGATTTCAAATCCGCATACGACACAATCGATCGAGATCAGCTATGGCAGATTATGCACGAGTACGGATTTCCGGATAAACTGACGCGATTGGTCAAGGCGACGATGGATCGAGTGATGTGCGTTGTTCGAGTATCGGGGACACTCTCGAGTCCCTTTGAATCTCGAAGGGGGTTACGGCAGGGTGATGGACTTTCGTGTCTGCAGTTCAACATCGCGTTAGAAGGTGTGATCAGAAGAGCTGGGATAGACACGAGTGGCACGATATTCAGGAAGTCCATCCAGCTCCTTGGTTTCGCCGATGACATTGACATTATGGCACGGAACTTTGAGATGATGGCGGAAACGTACATCAGACTGAAGGCTGAAGCTAGACGGATTGGACTTGCCATCAACGCATCAAAGACAAAATACATGAAAGCAAGAGGTTCTAGGGAAGACAATGTTAGCCTCCCACCTCGAGTTCAGATTGACGGTGACGAAATCGAGGTGGTCGATGAGTTCGTGTATTTGGGCTCACTGGTGACCGCCGAAAATGATACCAGCAGAGAAATTCAAAGACGCATTATGGCAGGGAATCGTGCCTACTTTGGACTCCGGAGGACGCTCCGGTCGAATAAAATTCGCCGCCGCACGAAGTTGACTGTCTACAAGACGCTGATTAGACCGGTGGTCCTTTACTACCACGAGACCTGGACTATGCTCGTGGAGGACCAACGCGCCCTTGGTGTTTTCAAACGGAAGGTGTTGCGTACCATCTACGGTGAAGTGCAGATGGATGACGGAACGTGGAGGAGGCGAATGAACCACGAATTGCACCAGCTGCTGGGAGAACCATCCATCGTCCACATTGCAAAAATTGGGCGACTACGGTGGGCTGGGCACGTCGTAAGTATGCCGCACGACGACCCAGTGAAAATGGTTCTAGAAAGCGACCCAACAGGAACAAGAAGAAGAGGCGCGCAGCGGGCAAGGTGGATCGACCAAGTAGAAGGTGACCTGCGGACCCTTCGCAGACTACGAGGCTGGCGAACTGTGGCCATGGATCGAGTAGAGTGGAGACGACTTCTTCGGACAGCAGAGGACAACAAGGCCTTAGCCTGATTGGTAAGGTAAGTATGTCAGAAGGGTCTAACTTGAAACGTAAACAATGACTTGGATCGTCGGTTTCATACGAATGACAACACACCCACTCAAACTAACTAAATCATCTGACAGAGAAATGTTTGTTCTATGAGCTGGTGTCGTCAGTGAAGCATACATAAACAGGTCGCCATTACCCGATGTCAATTATACAAGGTCTGGCTCAAACGGCTTATTGGCACAGACAAACAGACATAACACTCTTAAGTTGTTCATCGAACAAGCACTTAACGGTTATTTTAAAAGTATCGTAGTTGGTAGTACCGCCACCTGTGGCGCGCATAGTCATTTTCCTTGCATTTGACGTTTACACACTACCGCCATCTGTTCAGCGTACTACCCAACACAGTATTCTCAACAGATGGCGCTAATGTTTCAGCGACGATGTTTTACAGTGAGAAATATTCAATGTGTTATGTCTGTTTGTCTGTGTTATTGGTATTAGTGAAATGTGGAAATGTTTAGTGGCGTTTGTAGTTCATCTTTTTTAAACGAAACAGCTGTTTGCTGTGACAACACGTCTGCCATTCGCTGTATGGAATGTTGTGCTGCCGTGACATCGTAATTCGCTTGCTCAGCAATGTTTACAACATTTTAGCTTCTAACACCAGCAAGCTTCCTGTTGTTCCAGACCTTGTATGATTGACATCGGCCATAAGGTGATCCAAGAGACGTTTCTCAGTGGAACTGACAGCTAGAATTCTAGAGTGTGTGAGTGATCTGGTGTTAATTGTGCTGAATGTAAACATAAACAAAGCAGAAATTCATAAGAGAATAAACTGCCAGTTCTACTGTGATCTGTCAAAAGTTCTTGGTAAACAAAAAAGTCAGCTGATCGCAACTATCTCATGGACACTGGGGGGGGGGACGTGCTGTCAAATCAGCCTACTGATCATTCTTGTATGAAACTGGTTCCAAACGTAAACAAACGCTGTAGGTTTCTTATGGCTTGTTTACGTTTGGAACCAGTTACGCGAGGTAGGCGACGATTGTTCGTATTTGACAGCCACCTGTGTATGGAATCTTCAAACACAACTATAGGAACCTAACGCTTCTAACGTACCGCAACTATCCAGCTTTCCATGCTCGGTAATGGCGGCCTGTTTGTATGAATAAATGTATCCTTCACTGTGCATTTTGACACTAACTGGAGGGCGTATGTTGTTCAATTTTCTTCTGTTCCTGGGAGAGTGAAAGGGAAGGGGTTGAAATTCGAACATCCAGATAGTGTCAAAAAGCACAGTGAAGGATACATTTATTCATACAAACAGGCCGCCATTGCCGAGCATGGAAAGCTGCATAGAGATTGCTAAAATGTGATTGTATCAGTGATTTGTTTGCATCAGGAAAATTTACCGCTATGATTTTTTTTCCTGATGAAAACATTTTGTTTATCCAGCATTTTAAGCCTGGTACGCAGCTGAAAAGAAAACGGAAAAGTAATTTTTGAGGATTTTTCCCAAAAGAAAATTTGACAGCTATAGTCTGCTAAATTTTGAGATTATAGGGAGATGTCGTCAAATTGTAAAATCAACACTTATTAGTGTTTATGTTGTTTAAATGCATCCAAAACATCAGTTTTGCAATAAACGCCAACATTACCTAACGGAATAATTGATCAGACCATTATTCCGCAAGGAAAGTGAAATTGCATTCAGAATGCGCCACCTTCATGTCGATCACGATACTAATGTAATCGATCTTTCCTTTCCGATTTCTTTTGAACTGCGTACTGGGTCAAGAAATGCTAATTAAAAGAAATTTCTTTAGCATTCCGTGTCCTATCCCGTAGCACGTAAAAACGTCATTACTTTTCAGCTGCGTACCAGGCTTTACGAGTGCTTATGGCCGCCACAATCTACACGGTAAGAAAAAAGTACCCAACGGCCAGTTCACTTTTACCTACTTTTGACTAGTTTGTCTCCTTTTCTCCTACTAATGTTGTCGAAAACGAAGGAGCAAAACCATCCAACAGGGGTAGTAAAGTGTGGGAACCCAACGTTGAGTATAATCATATATACCTACTGTTGGGTACAACTAACTTACTTTTGGTTAAAAAGCCAGTGGAAAATTCCATACGAATTGCACACAAGTAAATGAAAATTACTTTGACCCGCTTTACCTATTTTTAGGTTCCTGCACTATAGTGCCGAGATGAGTGAAAAGAACTTAATTTTGGGTACTTTTTTTAACCGTGTAGCTGAGTTTTTGGTAGGGAACATATGATTTGTCGTTTACACGTCAAATGACACAACCCACACTTCAAATCTTATGTTCCCTACCACAAACTCAGCCAGATTGTGGCGGCCATAAGCACTTCCCTAATAAACGGGTACCATACTCTAACTATATCATAGATGGTACGACCATCCCACATAAAGTTGATATGATATCCCGAATTGGTGGTTAGGCGCTTCTTATGGTTATTGTTTATGCGGGTTGTAAAATTGCTTCGCTTATGTAAAATACTGGATACGTATAGCGCGACGTAGTCTGGTACGATAAACGTCAGCAATCTCCAAAAAGAAGCGTTTACCCCAGCATCGAGGCTGCTAATAAAAAATACCATAACCGAACGATAACTCAAAGGATTGAACTATTACACAAATGGTTTGGATGATACCTCGAGCACGTCGTTAAGTAAATTAACCATAACATTTTTATTAGGGGGAACATTTTTTTAAATGAACACCCGCCCTAATAAACAAATACCATAAACGAGCTATATCCCGGATGGGTAAACTATCCCACAAATGGTTTAGAATAGATGATACCCCGAACACGCCGTTACGCTCTCTTTTATGGTTATTTTTATTAGGGCTGAAAGCCAACCCTGGCTGTGACCTCCTTTGATCCCAGCTTTGAACCGTTTCATTTTTCACGCGTTCCCTTATTTGTTGTCTTTCTTTTATTGTTATTTTCTTTTTGTTATCAGTATTTTTAAATTTCGCGCTACAGCTGTCATGCAAAAGTTCGCTTCAGAACAAAAGATCCGTTTTTTTTGTGCAACTGCCAACGATTGTGTGCATTAGTTTTAATTATTCGCTGTAGTTTTCATGTCTGTATACAATTTCTGTGTTATTTTACGTTATTTTGTGATTATTCTATGTTCAATTGTGCCGAATTAGTTAATTTTATCCAGTGAATTACATTCGCGTCTGCAGCAAGCTTTTTTAACGTCCACCTGGAACCACCTGTAGCTGCCCAAAATGGAAAGGTAATTTTCCCATGGTTTCACATCCCATCAGCGAACGTTTTGCAACGGTATTCGCAACAACCGTGGCAATCATGCGCAATGGCACACGCTCTCTACCTGCACTCCCTCTCTCCGGAAAGTATCGATTTTCGAACCGTCCAGTCCTGTCAAAATCCTCTGGGTGTCAAATCTTTGTGGTTCCCGTTTTTCATCGGTTCATTCCTTGGGGGACACAGGGAGATTTTGTGTGTTATTGTTCCCTCTAGTCCTTTCCCCGGAGGCAGTGAAAAGTGGCCCAGCTCCCCCGTGGCACGGTTGCGTTGATAGTTGATTGTTTTTTTCTCGTTTCTTTCCCCGGGGGTTCGGTTCGTGGTCCGCCACCAGCACAAGTGCCAACAACAGCAGCATTCGCATCAAAACACCACCATCATCAATCAGTTGGAAAAAGTTATTCCGAGGATTCGAAGCGGACGAGCGGTCACATTCCGAGGAGGACAAAGAGAACAGTAGCGTTGGAAGTTTCAGTAAACCGTCCCAGAAGCAGCAGCAGCAGCAACGATTTGCTTGCACGACGAGCAAGAAGCGGATTAATTTCAAGCGTCGTAGGCCAGCTGCTGTAGCGGAAGGATCGACGCTTTCCCCGTATGGTGGGGGTCCAGGAGGGCTGAAACCGTGCAGTGTTTTTACGCCTTTGAACAAGCTCAAGTAAGTGGTGGTATTTTTTTTTTCGCTCGTTTGAATACGGATGGGGGTGGATAAGTGAGAGGCGTGTGTGGTGTGCAAATACAAAGCCAAGACCAGGCCAAAAAGTAATATTTGAGGGAGTATGATTTGTAATATAGCTCACCTGTATTACATGCATGGTCGTGTGTCGTGAGGAATGTTCAGTTATGTCTTTATTTAGTATTTGAATTTCATAACATTTTTTCTGGGGTACAGGATCGTGTCAGGATTTTTCTGAATAACAAAGAAATAAATTATGGGCAGTATTTGAGGAATCAGAATAACTTGACAGCTTTGCACTGGGGAACCTCTAAGAAACCATTCGAATTGTTAGCCCTTTCCTTCCCAGAAGGTTTTTCGTTGTTTTGAGATGCAAAAATGTATTTTGAAAAAAAATAGTGCTACAGCAAAAGATATTACATACAGCCCAACATTGTCGAATTCATTACAATTTGTTTTAATTTTTTTTTTTCAAAAGTGGCTCAGTTGAATTTTGAAGAATACATATGGACAGTATTAATAAGCATACGGAAAAGCTTAAGTTAGTACCGACTATTTAATTGTAGATTGACAACCATCAAAGCAGGCACACCATATTTGACGCGTTCCTAATCATAGCGCACTCGTCTATTTTTTTTTATCGCTACTTGATTTGACTTGACACCATCATCCCCTAGAGCACTGGAACTAATATTTGCAGAAGTAACATTCAAAAATAATGATTGAAAATAGGGCTTAGATCTAATTTTTGGCCTACTAAACGATTTTTTTTTATAAAATCGAATGTTCTCACTGCAGATACCTTCCAAATTTATTTAACTTTCCGTACGTATCGAGATTTGATAAAGAGTAACACATTGTTGAGATATTGTTAAAAATCTAACACTGCTTCATGACCACAAACTCGGTCTACGGATTCTAAACTTGGCCTAACGCATTGAAACGCAATTGAATTCACTTCGGCCTATCGGATGAAGATAATAATTGATTCGGTCAGAGCGCCTCTTTTGTGTTTGAGAATAATGGGTGCAAACATTCATAACACACGTTCTTTTAGACTACGTTCGGTAGATTTTAAACAGAAGTATAGTAAAAAACGCATAATTGACTTGTTAACGCCGGAATCATGGTTTTATATGATGTTTTCTGCTCGATAGGCCCAAAATGGGCGATTAGGCCGGTGTAGTTCTCTACTTTAGTCGAACATTATTGAGTGCGTCGGCTTAGGAACCGCTTCGAATATGGTGCCTCCACTGTAATTCTGCACAAATACCGTCTTGGTTCGGTTCCATGTAAGTAAAGGCATTAGAATTGCCAAAATCAACAGATGCATCTTAATTAAATGGGAACTAAGCACAGAAGATTTTTCTGTAAAACGTAACTAGAGGATTGTACTACAATACTCCGGATATCATTATCTTGAACGCCATTACTCCGAATGCCCCAGAACTCCGAATCCCATTAATGTACCAAGATTTTGCTAATTACTTCGAATCCCGTTAAAATTTATATTCCAACAACCCCAAATGTACCTTCATAACCCCGAAAATTGATACAGATACCAATTGTTGAATGCTTCAACTCTTCACAACCTCAGAACAAACAGAAAAAAACGGGGCTAACACAGTTAAGCATATCGGGCATTCGGCTTATTAGCCTTTCGACATAATTTGCGTTTTGCTTTAAACAATGGGAACGTTTGAATAAAGAAGGAAGTATTCCCTTCTTTTATTAAATCATTCGACACATTCTACGTGACGATATAACGGTTTTTGCACTTTAACTGAAAAAAAATAATTAAAAGTAAGTCCTAAATATTATTGTAGATTAGATAAGTGCGTTAAATTTCCGAAAGACTGGAACGCGCAAAAATTAGTCGACAAAAAAAATCGTTTCTATCAGTCAAAATTCATATAACAAAAATCTTCTTATTTTTCTTTTGGTAGTTCAATGCATATATTTAAAGGAACAAATATTCGTTTATTTTGCCAAATCCGAACTGCCGTGCCTTCCGCTTAACCTCTTCCATTAAATTTTTCACAGTGGTCCCATCGACCTTATTCGCCGCCGTACGCCAGTTAGATTTAAACTGCTGCTCGTTTTCCACGGATTTATTAGTTTTTTTGAGATTCCGTTTGCCCAAGGTCCAATACCGTTCGATAGGGCATAGTTCTGGGCTGTTGGGAGGGTTGTGGTCTTTGGGTACCATAACCACGTTGTTTGCATCGTACCACTCGATTGCCTTTTCCCATAGTGGCAGCTCGCCAAGTCCGGCCAGGACAGCACAGGTCTATTATGCAGGGCTGGTAGCGAGTCACTTTTTAGTGATTTGGTCACTTTTTTCAAGTCTCTTTTTTAAGGCCAAGTCACTAAAGTCACTTTTCTTGGTTGACAGTTGGTGTTATTCACATCGTCGTGATTGTGCGCTGCTAAATTTGTCGATTTTTTATCACACTGGCTATCGTTATTCGTTTTTTTTCCGTTCGGTATACCTGTAATATTGTACTGGTTGTTAGTGGAAAGTGTAGTTCGTTGCGATAATCGTCTAATTAGAGCATGTTTTGTGTTGTGAAAACAGTGAAAAAGTTATCCATTCAGACATATTGTAGTGTATACTGTCTAGCATTGGGCGATCTTGAGAATCCAATTCTTCTTTGCGTATTAGAGCATCTCCACTGCTGTTTCTAAATCACTTTTGGAAACTGAGTCGGCATGACTCCCGCCTGTGACCAATGCGCTAAACCAGTTAAAGGCGATGAAGAATCCGTCTCCTGCATGGCTTTTTTGCGACAGGATGGTTCACCTAAAGTGCGGGTGCAGTTTCGAACGCCTTTGGATACGATTGTGTTTTAAGTTTGTTCTCTGTTTTGTGCGTGCGTTCGCTCTCATAGTTTTCGGCTGCAATTTCCGGATTATCGTTGGTGCTCTGCCTCCCAGATGTTTATACGTGTGTGATTATTAGTTTTCTCGCTTTCCGGGAAGTTTTAGAATAGAGAAAGAAAACGTGATTCAACATGTTTGCAAGCATCAGAAGAGATGTCGCGATCTGCGTTGTTTGATTTTCTCCCGGACCAGAAATTAGTGGCATCGCGAGTGATAATTTTTAATTTCAGTTTATTTACGCGCTGCAAGGTGCGTGAAAGAGCTCGGCACAATCGGTGTTGATGTTGGCTCGCTTGTAACTTTTTTTGTTGTGTTTTCGAAAGAAATTGATCGAAATTGTACCAAAAGTGCTTCTGAATGTGTTTCGCAGTTGGGTGAGGTGAAATTCGTGAATTCGCGGTGTATGTTCAGTGAAAATTCCGTGTCACAAAATTGCTCACCGAATTTCCTTGTTTTGCCGTTCGACGACGACGGGTTTGCGAGAGAAAAATAAGCATCGGGAATTTGCTCCCGGATGTGTTGATTTGGTGAGTACGTTCCAGTTGAAGATTGTTCTTATACATATCTCGATTGCATTTTCGAGGGGACGTTCGAAGAGCTTTGAGATTTAGGCGTTGTTGCATTTGCGGGCAGATGAGTTGGTCGCCGGTAAGGGCCAGTAAGTGCTGCCAGCAGATGAATCAAGAGGTATTCGAAACAAAATTGGTAAGAAATGTCCATTCAAATCGATTTAATACAGTTGAACAAATTTCAAAACTATATACGTGCCAGATTTGGAAATAATATTGTTTGAATCTGGAAGTGTGTTTATGATACCATTATCCATTTGATAAAGGTAGAGTGAACATGCGGGGCTTATTGTAAGTAAAAGTGACCTCGGAGTGGTCGTGAATTACCAGGCATTCTGAAATGGGTCACTGGAGCTGCAATAGAGCTAACACCTTCTAACTCCCGGACTAAACCTGCTTTAATTTAAGGGCAATAAAAAGCAGTTTTCTTCCATAATAACACTGCCGGACAGTGGGGGTTAGATTGTACACACACACACACACACAAGTCACTAAAGTCACTTTTCTTGTAATAAGTCACTATTTTCAACTTTTTTAGCGTGAATTTATTTCAAGATTGATTATTGTTTGCGTTGTGACGTTTAATCGTCTTTCTCTATATACAGGATGTCTACTCATTTTTCTGGGTAAAATTACCTGAGTTTTCCAAGTAAGAGTCCAAGATCTAAAAATATCCAATGTCTTGAAGTTTCGTAATCCATGTATAAGTTCAAGATATTGAAAATATTCAAAGTGCCAAAATTAAGTAAACAAACAAATGATTTATTTCAAGTTCGTAATTAACTTTATGAAAGATTAGAGATCTTCAATGCAGTCCCATCAACTTTACAACAATTGTAGGAACTTTGGAGAACCTCTGAGGAATGAAAGGAAATGCTGAGAATTTCAGTGAAGCTCTATAAACAAACTGTAGGAACGTAAGGAAAGTTAACACGCTGAAAATATGGAATACTTACTAGAAGCTGCAAGAACCTCAAAGCGGTTCTATTATGAAGTTCCTTGAATTTCAGAGAACTTCATAGGTGTAAAGCGAACTTGAGAAATTTAGAAAATTTGAGGGATATTGTGCAAATTTTTAAGAAGTTCTAAGCACCTCAGAAAAGCTAGATAGATTAAAAATCTATAATCGTAAATTTAGATAAATTCAAGATAGTTCCAGGATGTGCTGAAAAACAAATCGACAATTCTTAAGATGTTCCGCAGGGAAGTACAGAGACCTTCAGAGAATTTATGAAACTTCAGAAATATTTCAGAAACTTCACAGAAGTCTAATGAATTTCAGGGAAGTTTAAAGGTGTTTACGGGAATTCTATTTATTTCCGAGCAGAACCGAGATCTTCAATAGAACAAAGAGCTTTTTGGAAGCTTCGAGAACATCAAGACAGGTCAGATAATCAAAGGGCAGTTCAAATAATTTCAAGGAAACATTAGAAACCTTAAAGAAGTTTCGAGAATCTCAGTGAATTTCCGAAAACTTCAGCAAAGCTCCGAGAAAATTCCTGGAAATTTTATGAACATAAGAGTGTTATA